TGGGCTCGTGGCGGGTGACAAAGCTGATGTGCAGCTTGAGTCCAAAACATGGTCAGAGTAGCACTAGAAAACTGCATCCCCTGCCTCCTGCTGTGAATACCAAGAAGGAGAGGTCTGTGGAAAATGTAGGTTCTTAACACTTGATAGGAACTTGCATCAACACAGTACGTCTCCAGTTTAGATTAAAATGAAATAAGGCAGTGAATTGGCTTGTTGCTGTCCACCAGCTGTGAGGTGGTTGAAACCATGGGCCATGGGCTGCTTTGTCTAAGAACTTACACTGAGCTTTTTCGATTGGGTATATAGCCTTATTCACTGTCAGCGGGGTTACAGACAAAATAATATATGGAAAGGATTCTCCAACATAGTAACGTTATCTGTAAAGTCGCTAGGGCTGTATCGTATTATATATTTGCGTATTTCATTCTGCATTGCTCAATAAAAAGCTGTTTGTGTTTTTTGGTTCTGCTTGTCAAGTCTTTGTTTTTGTTTCTCTTAACAGTGACTGTGTTCTTAAGCACTTTGACTCCAAAATTCTACTTTGCCCTTACAGTGACTTCATCTTTTATATCTGGACTGATATTTGTAAGTAGTCTGCTTTTATCTTTTTAAACAACTTTAGCACCTCTAGGATGCTTTCATTAGGGGTAGATGCAATCGGCTTTTTTTTATCAGACTCTAGAGGGTGCCTTTGTGCTAGGAAGGAACTTGTTATTTAGCAGCTTTGCTCATGTATTGTGCGTGCTCTTGCTATGTGTGTTGGGGTGAGTCTAAGGAAAATGTACCTGTTCTAGAAACTCAGGCTTGTCTTAAGGAGGTGCATGTCCACACGTATGTATATGTATATGGGTGTGTATAAGTAGATACACTAAAAATGTAAAGTGTATGTGCAAACTCTGCAGACCTCTCGTGTAAAGAAAACACTGAGATGTTTTATCTTTTTTTAAACCAGGTAATTAAGAGTTTAGCTTCCCATAGTAACTTTTGGGAGGCTTTTTTTACTTGTGTCATCATGTAATTTAATGACTTTGGTGTGAAAATGAGCCGGTACTTCAGCTCCTCTTCAGCTGACAGTGGGCACAGACGTGGCTTTGCACGAGGCGAATGGGGCAGGCTTGCGTGGTCAGTTCTGCTAGCACGGCTGTTTCTGCAGTGGTGATCATCTGACCCTGATGCAGACTGTGGTACTGTATACAAATCATTTGGGATAATCTTTATTTTTGGCATTAAAAGCTAAAGGAAATAATCTCATCAATTCGACCTATTTAGCAGAATGTGCAAGATCTATTTCATAAGTGATTTTTTTTTTTTTTAGCCAATATTAAAAAAAAGTGTCTTATGTGGCAGAAACAACTTGTCTGCTGTAAGTCATATTGCTTGGGTTTTGATTGAAGGATTTGAGGGAAGTCATACAAGGAGATGGATTCTGCTTGTGACAGGTCTTTTATGTTATGTAGGTTTGCTCTTAAGAGAAAAAAGTGGTGATTGGTCAGCCACTATTTACAGCAATGTTTCTTAACGAAGAATACAGTTTGTCTAAACATCGCTTCTTTCTGCATGCTAATGAAAATACTCAGACAAGTTGGTCCAGGGCTGAGAGTGTGGTGTAGTGCTTGAGGGCTGTGGTACACGGGTATTCTTAATAACTTCAAAGAGAGAGAGACAAATGCTCTTGACCCACAATTTCTGGTAAGTGAACTTCATTGCTGCAAATTCAACCTTTCCTCTTTGGACTTTTCTGACTGGCAGCCTGTGTCGGTTTAACTGTCCACTTTGTGCTTTATTTTTTTAGAATTTTTTTGTGAAATGAAAAAACTGCACCCATCTTGCAGTTCTTGCCTCTACGCAGTTTCCCTGCACAGGCACTTTCTGGAAGGGTTTAGAAGTTATCCTAGTGAATTGGGGAGGGAGGAACATATGCTTGACTAAAATTTTACTGGTTTTTTTCAATCTCTCTCATGTTATGTGGGTGATCCTGCATGACGGGACAGGCCACAGCAGATAATTAGCATCGGTTTGTATGTGGATAAGTTGAATCTCTGGTCATTTGCAAGGGGATGGTCCTGGCTGTGAACAACTGGCTTTTCGTCTCTGATCTTTGTGTTGGAAGGGTGTTGCCTAAGGAAACTTCTGGTGTGTTTTTCTCCTGTGACAGGTGTTTGAATGGTGGCATTTCCGAAAATATGGCACGTCTTTCATTGAGCAGGTTTCCGTGAGTCATCTGAGGCCCCTCATCGGTGGCGTAGAAAACAACCCTCCAGCACCAGCAGCGTTCTCAGCTGGAGAGAGCGAGACAAGCAGGCAGAATATGCCAGGTGGTTGTTAATGCTTCTCAGCAGTTTTCCCTCGGCTTCAAGGTGGCTGGTTCACATGAACTGGCTGTTAAATGGCTTTGACTCTAGTGTTGGTAGTAACTGGAGAAAGGCCTACGTCTTACAATGTGGTTTTTTAATAATGGTAAAGATAAAGTAAGTAATAATGTATCCTTGATCTAAAACATATATTATAAAAAACATCTTTTAAAAAATATATTACACATTTAGCCAAAACTGTTTCAGTAACATCAGATCTGTACTATTCTGAATATGTGCAAGGTAAACATTGCATGAGTGTAAATAGGAGGGTTTTATCTTTCCACCATGTGCTTTTGTACCCCAGCAGTGTTGGGGAGCAACAATATTTGTGGGATATCAGAAGTTTAGGGAGAAGATGATCGTATGATCATGCTTAGGTTGTACACCAATAAAATTAAAGCAGCTTTTGAAAGTAAAACTGCATTTGCATTACTGCATTTTAAAGTCAAGGTGGTATTTCCTGTGCTCTTAATTCCAAAAGTGTTGTGTTTTGGTTTTTTTTTTTCCCCAGAGTGCAAAGTGTGGCGAAATCCTCTCAATCTTTTCAGAGGGGCAGAGTATAGCAGGTATTAATTATCTTACTTTCCACTGCATATTCTTAAAATTAATTGGGGGCACATGCATGACTTCTTTACAGAGCTTGCACTAGTAATATCAGGAGACGGCCGAGACCTGCAGGGTTATGGGGTGGTCGATGCCAATCCTGTGTTTAAAAGGCACCTATCCAAGCTTTGGCAGTTTCAATATTAAGACTGCAGATACCACTGTAACATCATCAAATTTTTTTGAGAGTAAAGTAGGAGAAAAACTTCATTCAGAAGTTGAGACAGAAATTCTGAATCTAAATTCTCTTCTATTAAACTAATATGGCTGTGTTGTAAGTCTCCTTGTGTTATTTCATAGGAAAATTTGCTTCCTAGAAAGCCAGTTCCCGAGTTGGAAGGATCAAAAAGCCTTTTTTTTTTCCCCTCTGCAGGAAGCCTTCTGGCAACCTGTACAGATTATGGAGCAGTAGTGCTTGAAAACTTCTGGCTAGTAGCTCCAGTCCTTTAGTAAGAATTTTCTGCACTAGCTTTGGTTGTTAGGCTCATTGGCTGTCCCCCTTGGTATCAGCATTGCTGTTCACTAGAGTGCCTCTTACTGAAGTTTCTCCCATTAAAGATACATGTGGGTGACTGGGAAGGAGCCTCTTACTTACTACGACATGAATTTGTCTGCTCAAGATCATCAGAACTTTTTCACGTGTGATACAGATGCCCTTCGGCCCTCAGATACAGGTACCAATGTTGTATATGCCAGGGATATAACTTTACACTCTGCAACAGTGGCTGTTTTTAATATACTTTAAGGTAGCACAAGCTATTGTGTCAAATATTTTGTGAAACAATAGCCTTTCTCAACTACTAAGGAGGTTTAATAGATGTATTTAGTGAAAAGATGTTTTTTGACCTTGTGCTTTCTCTACTGAGTTCAATGCTGTCAGGATCCTGACATAATTTTAAGACCACACGCTTTTCAAATAATTAACAACACGGTATTGAAAACCTGGGTTGTACTCTCAACAGCCAAAGATGTGGTCTCATTTAAACCTTAGTGAGGAATAGTGCAGTCTCTGGAATTTTTTTGTTGTGTTCCACACGTTCAGTGCAGAAAATGTTCTCTACCTGGTTATTGTCAGGCTGGGTGCGAACCATTGTCGATTTGTCAAGTTCCGGCAGCGTTACTTGTCAGCTGGCTGTGACATGCTTGATATGAATGATGTGTTTTTGTTTCACAAATGGAGTGTATTGTCTCGCTTACGAAGCCAAGACTAATATTTTGTTTCCAAAAGAAAACTCCAACATTTTTCCACGTTAGTCTTGCTGGACAGCAGGTTTTGTTCCAAAAGAAACATGTATAGATTCTTCAGTTTTCTTATCGTGCTTGAGATAGGCCAGATATGTAACTCCATGAACGTAAGGTTTTGGAGTTCTTTCAGAACTGTTATGTAGTGTGAGAGCTCTTAGTGCACAGAAAATGGTAGCTCCAAGTGTGGTGTTTTTCTTTTGCTGGGAGCTGGTTTTCAGTTTGGGATTTCCATTTTCCCCTCATGGAAGCATAGTGGGGAGGGGTGTAGAGTCATTGCGTTGAACTTTTGTTTGCTCCTTATCCGACCTTAATTTTGGACTCAAGCTGTAATTCAAATGACCCTTTTGAATAGGTAGGTTTCACCCTTTTTAATTGTTTCCTAGAACACTTTCTAAGAAGGTGATAAATTATTATAGTATATCTCAAATTGGCTTTGCCATGTTACACCATTCAAATGTGTCTTGTAAATTTAAAAAGAAATTGTTTAACCCCTTGTGATCTGGTATTTGTCGAAATACTTCAGTATGAATCCGTACCTGTGCAAGACACAGCTTATATCGCTGTTTTCTTTGAAGTTCTGTTTGAAAGCTTGAATTAAAATTCTGTGCAGGTCTGTGTTTAACAATTGCTCCTGCCAAGCTTTCAACAAGTCTTGGGAAATGTTTCCAAAAATCTGTAGCAATTTAGAAATTGTACATCTGCCTGGTTGTGTAAGCTCTCTTTGCTTCTCCGTGTAGGAGTTCTTAAATGGTCAGTGAATAATCTTCCTGGTGGTGTTGCTTTCTTAAATTAAATTTGGGGTGTAAATGAGAAGTTGCAAGATTCTGCTGCTTGTGGTAGAAAGTCATGCTGGAATGAAAACGCTTGTTTACTCTTCCCTCCAACACTTACATAGCAAACAGGAATATGCAAAATGGAAGTGAATGTTAATGTAGAGCTGAGGCATGAGCAGCCAGCGTTGCCTCCGTTGGCTCCCAGGTGTTTCGCCGGTGTCCCTGTCCCTCACCAGCCTTTCAATGTTTTTGCAACAGTTATGCAGAAAGCGTGGCGAGAGAGAAACCCTCAAGCCCGGATTAAAGCAGCATACCAAGCTTTAGAGTTGAACAATGAGTAAGTTTAGAGTATAAGTTCAATTGCTGTGTTTCTAGTGTGAAAGATAAAGCGGAGCGATACGGCGCACGCTATCAGTTTCTTGCTCTAATCGTTTACTTTTAGCAAAGTTCTGAATAGTTTAAGGGCAACTTCTGTGCCTGAGATTTGCATGTGGGACTGTCAGTTGTGCTGAAGTGTTGAACTGTTCTATAAAAAATAGCTTTTGTTCTTCCTTTTTCTTGGGAAAGAATTTTTTTTTTAAATCTTTATATCAGTAGCAATAACAAATGAGAAATTTTGTTCAGATACGGAACAGTCCAAATTGAACATGAGATCGTGTTTCAGAGATGGCATCGTGGTAATACTGTACTTGGAGTTCACAGGTGCCACCCCTGTAAGGGATTTAAAATACTCTTATAACACAAACCAAAGAATTCTGTGCACTTCTGTGATCTGTCTGGTTCTGTAGTCTCGTTTTTGTGTAAAATGTCTACCTCCTGGTTTTAAAAAAGCAAACCAAACACAAAGAAACCTCTCCAGACAATTACCAGAACATTTTTATTATTTCAAGGAAAATAATTTGACTTGCTGTTACAATTCTTTCTTTTGTTCTTTCTCCAAATGTGTGTGTGTTTCTCTAAAATGGAAAAGGTTTCTGTTTTCCTGACACTCACCATTTAAACTCAAGTCAATATTTTGGTACTTTAATATTGTCAGTGCTTAGATATTAAACATAAGTGAAAACTGCCCATTTCTAATGCTTTTAACACTTACTCAAACAATACTAAACTTTGTCCCTCAGACTAATTAGTGGGTTTTTTCCTTATTACAGTTGTGCCACTGCCTACGTCCTCCTGGCTGAGGAAGAAGCAACAACTATTGTAGATGCTGAGAAGTATTTCAAGCAGGCTCTGAAAGCAGGAGAAATGATTTACAGAAAGTCTCAGAACTGCCATTCCCAAAGTCCCCAGCATGAAGCACAGCTGAGTAAGCGCTTTTGAATCATATAAACTCTTAAGTTCTAATTAGTGATTCTAGTTTGATTCCCAATTCAGTTCCTGCTGCTGTAGCTACGCTTATGTGTGGCGTGCTGTGTGATCTTTTGTAGTACCCAAATGAAACTTAGGAGGTGGCAGTTAGGCTGGGTATTCGTTGGGGGTTGTCTCTCTGAGGCTCGGTTTGTTATTGTTTTGGGAAGCTGGACAGGTAGAGCAGACTGCTGAAGCAATTAGTGTGTATCAGTAGCACCTTCTTTTATTCCACCCAAAAGTTTGAAAACCAAAACCAAAACCAAACCAGAATTTTCTTGTCATTTAACCTAGTTAAAAGTTACTGGCATTGGTCTAGCTGGGCCTTGCTTGGGACAGCAGTAGTAATTATTTTATGCCTTTACATGTGGTTAGGAAAAAGGTTGGGGGGGTTTTGATGCCTTTTTTTTTTTTTGAGAATGGGAAGAAGAGGTAGAGATTGACATGGGTAGACTAATATTTTTTTTGTCTTTGTAATCAGGAAGAGACACCAATGTGTTGGTCTATGTGAAAAGGAGATTAGCTATGTGTGCAAGAAAACTTGGAAGAATACGAGAAGCAGTAAAAATGATGAGGGATGTAAGTAAAAAAAAAAAAAAGTGAGCAACTCTTGTTTTCAGTTACATTGTCCAAACTGATGGTTTAAAGTTCCTTTCTAGGCAGTATAATGAATCCAATTAAATTATTTTTCAGTGAGATTTGCACATTATGATTCATGATTTTTTTGAGAACAGTTTTTTTTTTGGTTCCTACATGTAGGTTTTTAAATTTTTATATAACATAATGTCATAGGTTCGCAGTTCTGTTGTCCAGTTTGCTTCATGCTTGACTCAGTGACTAACTTGTCAAAATAACCAACTTTAGATGTTGTCATAATTTTTCTTTCACTTGCCCAAGGTGTATCATAAGTTCTTTTTTCATAGGAAGATATTACCGACCAAACCAACTTACTGTGCGAGTTGTGCAAGTTTGGGCTGAGAGTGTATTATATGAACCTCAGTATACTTATTTTCCTGTAGGTGAATATAGGAAAAAATGTGAGGTAGAAATGATGCAATTCTTTTCATGCTGCTTATGTGCCAGTTTCTAACACTGGAAAAGAAGAGAACATTGAAAAATCTAAATTATTGTACTGACTTCTAGTAAGTATTTCAGGGATTCAAGTGCAATTCTATATGTGCTTAATTTATTCCTTTTTACTGATCTGCAGTTGATGAAAGAGTTTCCACTTCTCAGCATGCTGAATATTCATGAGAACCTCCTGGAGGCACTGCTGGAGTTACAGGCTTACGCAGATGTCCAAGCAGTTCTAGCGAAATATGATGGTAGGTGCCTACTAGGAAATATTGGTGGGTTTGTGTAAGAGCATAGGCAAGATGTGCCTGTCCAAATGCAGATGTCTGCCCAGGATCCCAGCTAGTTGACTCGATTCCCTTCATTGGCAACAGAGGCGCTTCCAGAGTGCGAGTCAAGTTTTTTCTTTTGAATGGTGAGGTCAAATTTAGGCAAGATAAATTGCATACAAATTACTTTTTATGTTTTTAAGTTACTTCTAATCTGTAAAGAAATCTTCCAGCTCACTTTGCTTCAATTTAAGGATTGTTTTAATTTTTTAATCTCTCCTACATCCCTTGTTATGCCTAAATGCATCAGCGTTTTTCAGTCAGCACAGAGCCCCCTAAGTAATTGATGTAAATAAGCTGGTAAAGGTAGTTTTCCCTTCTGTCATCTTCCAGGCTTGGCCTCGTGATTCTGTAATACTGAGGTTGCTCACCAGAGATTAGTAACGTGCAGACCTTTTGCTTGCCAGAGATTAGTGGTATGCAAGCTTTGGTCCATTAAATGGTGGTGGTTTGCTTTCACTTTCCATTTCAGCTAATACGCTTCAGGTGTTGTGCAGGTCTAGATAAAGGTTAATAAAATACAGACTTACTTTCTTATTGTCCTCAGAGTTTTGCCACCTCGTTAATGCCCACATCATTAGTATACGAAGTGCTGCTGTCAAAGCTGTCCCTTAAATCCTCTTCAGAATGGAGGGACATAGAAGCAGTGCTTTGTGGTGATCGTTCCCCGCCCTTGAGAAGTTGGCGTGTTCTATCTTGTGTCTCTGTTCTTTATTGCTTCAGGGAATCAGAAGTACAACATTCTTGCCCAAATCCTATGCCCCATGTGCGTGGCCACCCTAGCACACTGCCTGTTCCAGTTACTTGACCATCTGTGTTTTTCTGTGTGGAATCTTATTAATTTAACAAAACCATTTGCTCTTTTCCTGGTGCTTCTTTATGTTAACATCAGGAATTGCGACACTGTCTTATGGAAGTGTTGCTGACTTTTTTTTCCTAAGCATCTGGAAAAATGAGTATGAGCTTCAAACTCTCTGTAGCGCCCCTGTGTTTTGCTTGACACGACAGCCAGACTTCTAGTAAGTGATGGACAAGCCCATGATGGGATTTACAAAAAAAGCAAGAGCCATCTGACTGTACACAACATGGTACTTGGGAATTAGACCCCAGACTTTGTCTGCTTTTAAAGTAAACTTGGACTGTGGAGTGCTAACCTTCTAATCTGTAATTGTCAGCTCAAGCTTGGCCTCAGATATTCTACAAAACCTACGACTAGTAGAATTTTCCCCGTGGAACTGGAAAATAATGGAAATTTCATTTTCATTAAAATTTGTCTACCTGTCTGTAATGGAATTTTTTTGGTCAGCTTCTCGTCAGTGTCTCTCTCAGTATGATGTAAAACCCTGTGTTAGTGCAGGGTTGCAAAATCAGGTAAAGACTAGAAGCTTGTTTTAAACCTTTGTGGGTTAATACAGGAACACGGCACTGTTCTGAAGTGTGTACTTACACACAGATTTCTTTCTGAATTCAGTTTCAGTCTTGGTACGTATAGAAGAAAAAATTACTCTTTAACCACCTAACTATGACTGTGATTTCTTTGCACAGTTTTCTTCCTGGTCACCAGTCAGTCTCAGATTAAAAACTCGAAGTTTCTAATCATAGCTGAAGTGTTCCAGATGTTACACTCATTGCTGCCCAAGTAAAAATCCGTAAGCTCAAAGGATGTGGCTTTAAAATGTTTGTCTTGTCTGAGAATACTACAGCTTAATTATTTTATTTTATCACAGATATCAGTCTTCCAAAATCGGCAGCAATATGTTACACTGCAGCCTTGTTAAAAGCCAGAGCTGTTTCAGAAAGGTAAGCAAGCATATTTGTGAAAACAGTGGTTTATTGCTTATCTTGTGTTATGCTGTAAAACATAGCTAAAAAGGCCTAAATCCAATATGCATCAGTTACAGGTCTGAGAGCAAGTTAAGTGTATTTATATGTACATGTGGTATGTGTGGGTGTAGTTTAATTTAAAGTTTCTTTTAATCATCCATAAAGTTAATACAGGTGAAGATGTTTTTCAGGAGCCCGCAGATGCACATGTGCTTTTGTACAGATTTTGTTTTCAGTGTCATGCCTGGGATGTTCAGCAGTTCTTTGTTTTGTGGATGGGGTGCAGGAGATTTGTGGCGGTTCATGTTGGTGTTTCACGTTTGTGCTGGGGTATTTGCACAGTTGATTCCAGCTTTACCTCCAAGTAGGTGATGTTGTACTAACCTTAGGAAAGACTGGGCACTCAGATACCTTATGTGATTGACATGAAGCTTAAAAAAGTTAAACATAACTTTGTTATATGGGCATGGATGGCAGTCAGGATACCTACATGAACATAAACATTTGTCTCCTAGAAGGGTTTATCTTTCTTGATGAATCAGTAAATTTTTAATGAGCTCCAAGCTTACAATGCAAATAAACACCTGGTTTGTATTTATTATTTACTTTTGCTCAGCATGGGTGTTTTCCTTCAGGTTCTCCCCAGAAACTGCCTCCAAAAGAGGGCTCAGTACAGCAGAAATCAATGCTGTGGAAGCAATTCACAGAGCTGTGGAATTTAACCCTCATGTTCCAAAGGTAAGAGTATTTTATTTCCTACTGGACCAACTCTTAGTGTCTTCTGAAAGAAGTCGTGTTACGTTATCATCTTCTCATTTGAGCCTTTCTAGCCCCAAGGTTTCTTGATGGTGGTCATAACTGCAGCCGTTGAGTTGTCAAACACACTAGTGTTTGTGTATAAATGTTTGGTGGTCAGAACTCCTTGTTTGCAGTAGGTGATGTCTAAACTGTGTTTTGTTTAAAAAATTTAAACTCAAAATTTTCTAACTCATTGGAAAATCCAGTGACGTATTAATGAAGGCCTTTTGTTGAGTAAGGGCAAGCATTATTACATACAAATTTAGATATTAAAATCCCTGAAGCCAGATTAAGTTCTCAAACAATAACTACTCATAGTATTTCAAAATACTTTTTTCTGCTGTGCTTCCACGCATGGCTCCAGAACCCGGGTTATTGAAAGATCTACAGTCACTTATTTTCTTCATCCACATGTAAACAAGATTAAGAGTCAGCATTGCCAGAGGCGGTAATTTAGTGTCTGGCATTACTTGAAGCGGCCAAGATACAGATTCCACTGAGTGTTGTGTGAAAATAAAATCTTAGGTTGCTTTTTACTGTACCAGTGTTGTAATGCTTTCAGTTTGAAACCTTGAATGCAGAAGGTTGGCTTAGTCCCGGACCTAATCCTCTGCAAATGATCATGGAGTCCGAATGACTATTGCTGTGAAGGCTCGAATTATCCAGCCGCTCTATTCTGTCTGCCTGTCCAATCTAATAGAATGTGCACTGAGAAAGCTAATTGCTGGGAGAAATTGCTGCTTGTTTGCATGACTGATCAAGAGCGTAGCAAGTTCATTTCAGACAGTCTCAGACAGATTTTTCTTTAGCCTCTGCCTTTAGGGGAAGAAGATTATAACGCATTATCATTATCTAAAAGTTCTTTTATTTTGTATATCCTTCAGTTGTTTCAGGAGCCTTATGTACCTTTTTAAAGAAGTTGGATATCATTTCGAACGGGCTGTTTGCAAAGTATGTTCCATAGTTCTACAGACAATCGCAGAAACTGAGTCCAGGTTTCAGTAATTTGACCTTCTCTTCCCACTGTATACCTGTCCAGTCTTCGTGATTTTTTTTTTTTTATTACAGTATTGCCTCGAATCACCAAGTTATGAGATAGCAGGGCAGAATTTTATTGGTGCTGGCTTTCTAGAGCTCTGAGATGCTCATAGTCAAAGCAAACAAGTGAAGTAACTTGCCCAATGGGTTACAGTGGACTAGTGGGGAAGAAAATCTGGTTTTTGAATTTGCAGTCTGTTCTGTCCCATGGACTAAAAGCAAACGAGTATGTAAAGTAGAAATCCCGTTGTTCTCGCATCTGATGAAAGTGGTTGTCTTTGCACATAACATCATTTGCATAAGGAAAATAAAATTATGTTTGTTTCTCTTTGTTCTGAGTTACGCTTTTAGAAGGGTGGGGTTTGTTTGGAAAGTTAGGAAGGCATTTCACAGTGCTAGAAAATGGCTACTCTTAGGCCATTTCAAATTAGAGATCTGTAACTACACTTTGGTAATGTATAAAACAATCTTTCCTAGTCATCTTCTGGATATCTTACGAATTTTTTTGTGTAGAAAGACTTTCTTAAATCTGCAAACACCAGGATATTTTCAGTACTGATACCTTGCCTGTCTTATGGTTAAACACGGACATGAAAACCTACCAGACTCTGGAATCTTTCTGTTTATGTGGTACCATGGGTGCAGAGGCAGCCAAAGCGTGGAGTTCAGCGTTGGCATGTGGGGCCATCATCATCATCACTGCGCCTTGCTGTTGCCTTCCTCTCTGGGCAGTTGGTACAATGGAGAAGTGGGCACTGCAGAGAGCATGAGGAGTCAGGTCAAGGGTTAGATATTTGAGACCATTTTCCCACAGCAGCCCTGTGTGAGTGATCCTTTACTGTGTTAAAAAAAAAAAATGAAAAAAAAAAAAAAATTGAAGAGGATTAGAGGGGATTAGCAAGAATATTACCCTCCGGAGTGTAGGCCCAAGGCACTAAGAGAAGAACCTAGCCAGGCAGTAAATGTGCTTTATTTGGCCGGGGCACAACCCCTCCTACATTCCTTCAAGAATCTGAATGGGAAAAGTTAAGTCCTCAAACTGGATTAGTAAATAATCTCATAGTTTGTGGCATCTGCTGAAATAAATCGGCGAGTTAGCTGCATTCTTACACTTTGGGAGACAGGCAAAGGAATTGCCAGCTACATTGATCAAAGATGGGGATTAACTTTGGCTGTTATTGAGTGAGACACTATATGCTAGGAGAGAGCAACTTGCAGGTAAATACTCGAGCTGGAACTGTCATTTCATTCTTGTAAAAATTACTCATCTGTTTTTAGCAGCGAAGTTCAAATGAATGCCTGTCTTTTTTTAAATGTGCCATCAGAAAACAAAATGGCCTGTCCTGTGTTCCAAGGGAAATGGAAAATGATTAATCCTGGTGTTCTTTGACACTTCTGTGCATCAGATGCTCTGCTGATGTAGGGAGAAGGCTGAAACTGAAAAAATCTGAAATCAGAGATGCTTTGTGGTAGTGCAGCAAAACCACATTAAAACAAGATTTTCCTGGGCTCGGTTTATTATTCTTCCTTTGGTTAGCATGCTGACACTTTCTGGTTTGCTACTCGTACTTGAGAGCTAGCAAGTACTTAGCCTGCCACATTGAAACTTCCAGTGATTCAACGATGAGCAAAAAGGCCATTGTGGGGTTTTTATTAGCCTAACCGTGTGGCTCATTGGTATTGTACCTGTGGCAGTACGCTTTATGTATATTCCACAATAGTTATTTTTATTTTGCCTTACTGAAAACGCTTTTTTTTTTTTCCCCCTGGTATTTTGTGTGTGAGACCCCCAAGTTAAGAGTCTTACACACGGCTGTGAGTTGTGCTGCTTTTCACGCCCCACGCGAGTGCGGGCTGTCGGCGCCGTGTCGGGATCGGGCTGTTTCTTCAGCAGGTGGGAGTGGGCCCCCTGTGATGTGCTCGGTTGTGCCTCCAGTCATCATTTGTGTTTCGCAATTAAAGATTTTGGAAGATTCCAAGTAACCAAGCGTGCTTTCTGTTTTTACTTCCAGTATTTACTAGAAATGAAAAGCTTAGTGCTACCTCCAGAGCATATTCTGAAGCGCGGGGACAGTGAGGCAGTTGCATATGCTTTTTTTCACCTCCAGCACTGGAAGAGGATAGAAGGGGCTCTAAATCTGCTGCACTGTACATGGGAAGGCAGTAAGTATCCCTCCTTGTTTTATCTTGTTCTGTACTGGAGGCTAATCTCTGTGCCTTTATTCACCTCAGACGCGACTGGTTCTCTCTGTGAGAAGCTGGTCACTTGGTTTAGATACAGATCTAACGTCACTCACTCTTTTTTCAGCATTTAGGATGATCCCGTACCCGTTAGAGAAGGGTCACCTTTTCTATCCCTATCCGAGTTGCACAGAAACGGCAGACAGAGAACTGTTGCCAAGTAAGTGGTTTCTAAGCAGTAATGATAATAAAACATGAGCTAAGGACGTGTTCAGTTTGTGGTATTCTGTATTTACCTTACTGTGATTTTTTTAGTTTGAGCTTCCTGTGAAGGGGATTCAGCTATTTGTTGATGTCCCTCCCAGACGATCCTGAAGCACTTGACATGTGTATGTGTGGTAAATGTTAGCTTGGTTCTGTAATAGCATAAGCCCTTCAGAGATGAAGTCTGTGTGTGGTACATTCAGACGAAGTTTGGCCAACTTGGAGAACAACAAAATGGACTGGTTCTTTAAATGACTTCTTTTAAAAGTCATGGATTTGACCACTGGTGTAGAGGAGCTGTTTCCTTTTAGGAGGGAATAAATGCATGGCTGCAGTCCTGCATTTGGATATCTGGCAGAACCTGCCTGGGATCTTACCGACAATCCCTGGTTAATCTATAGCTTCATAGAATATGTATTGCTTTCTGCCATTAATTCATTGGCACACACTTGTCTGCTGCTTCCTGGACCTTTTTATCCGTGCAGGTATTTTTATGGTTTTGTACTAACACTTGACACTGACAAGTAAGTCTTCTCCAGCTGCCCATTACTTCAAGGTTACCTTATGCACTTAGAAGCCTACATGGCTTTTTTCTTTAGGTAAGGTAAACAAACTAAATCATTAGGGCCCATGCTCATCCTATTTAGGAAAATAGCATTAATTTAGACTAGAATTGGACTGTTAATTGTACATGCTAATAGAATCCCTTTCGGGGTGGACTTCTGCATCATGAAGAAATGCAAGTCCCATGGGACTGGAAAGGGCTACTGCAAAAGCACCAGCAGACCCACTGAGACCACAGCTGTGGAAAGGAAAACTACACATACGTGTTTCTATTTAAAAGCCTGAAGTTATATTTAAAATGTGTAATTTAAATTTGCCCCCAGACTGCTTTAAATTACTCATTTCTCACTTACACAGGATATTGCACAAGGAATTCCTTGGTTAGCGACTAACCCTAAATTGTAGACTTCCCAGCATAATTAAACACCAACACATGCAGATATTTCAACACGATCACTCACGCATTCCTGTTATGTTTTAAATATAAAACTACCCATAAATAAAATCATCTTAACACTTTTATTGCAGTACTTCCTCGAGAAATCTTGACACTTAATTTTTTTAAATTTATCTATCTAAAATAATGTTGACCAAATTAATGATTCAAAAATCCTGTACTGGTCTGACTGGTAACAATTCTCAAATGGCTGTGAACATACAGAATTATCTTGTCCTTACCTATTTTGGCTTTCATTTTATTTTCCCAATGTAGGGAAAAACAAGTTCAAAAAAAAAATCCTTTTTTTTTTTTTTACTTTCCTAACTTACGTTCTGACCTTTCCTAAATTACATTGCTCCATGTTTTAAAAAAATCAGGTGAGTTTCTAAGTAGTGTGGGAGCGTGACAGTGTCCGTGGCAGACACGTGCTGGCTTTGGTTGCTCAGTGGAGAGGAGCGCGTTGCTGACGTGCTGCATGACGGCGCTGCTTGCCCGTTGAGAAGGTGAACTGAGATCTGAGCTAACATTACACATCTCTGGTGGATGTTAGATGTGGAACTCCAAACGTGCTACTTAGTTGTGCGCCGAAATCATATACTTAAAAGCAACACAAAACCCAAGCACTTTGCCATTAATGAGTTGCGAGAGCCCAAGCTGCTTCTGCTGGGCTTGCTCTTACAGTGGTAGCTTTCATGTGCCAGCGTTCAGAAACAGCAATGGGGAGGACAAAGTGTCGTCTTCCTCCTCAGCCTTCAGTTTACAAATGAATACGATTGTATTTTCTTGTTCTGTGAGAAGTCTTACTGAAATTCTGAGGCTTTTGTTAGATTTTAAAAATGGCTCATCAGGATGTGTGCAGCCCTTTCATAATTACTTGTGTCTATAGAAACTATTTTTTTCTTCATTTAGAAACCCTTTAAAATCATGGGATAAAAGTCAGAGCTGCTGGTATCCAGGGCCACTAAGTAATTGCAAATTCACCAAACAGGTCCTCAGCTGGTAACCAGTAGTAGTGTTGAGTGCTGAAAGCTCCATATGCCCGCCCGTAGCCTGTCTGATCACCTTCTTTTGATTTCGTTACCATAGATTGGAAATTGCAAGGAGCTGCTATGTACAGAATTTATAACCTAGTCCTGGTACTGTTTTCTTTGAGGTCTGTTCTGTCAGCTGCTCTGAAAAAATTTACTGTAGCCTACTAACCAGGAATCTTTGAAAAGTATTAAGGAGCTACCTGGCGTGTATATATAACGTGATGGTTGTTTTATACTTGCTGAGCTGCTTGTAGGATGGGGAGATGTGCTGTTCTCTTCGCGTAACAGGATTAATGCTTCGGAGGGTTGAAAACACCTGAATTGTTTAAATTGGTCTGGGTAATTCTGACAGCTTGTGAATTTTACAGTTCTTCCCTCTGTCCTGTTAGAAGAGTCAGTACAGAAAACTAAGCCTGATGAAATGCTTCAAAAATAAAGCCCATGCAAGTGAAAAAGAAGATTGGGAAGAGAAAGATGCGATGGCTGTTAATAATGAAGGCAAGCATTAGTGTAGGGGAAAAATTTTCGAGAAGTTTAAGTACTGGGACCTAACATGTGCTGCACGATAGTCTTGAGTCCACACTTACTCCTTCTGAAAGTCTGGAACCGCGTTACAAGACTGTGTAAATAATTTGGAAAACTGTTCTCGATTATCAAATGTCAATATCCTTCATTTTTTCCTTTCAGCATTTCATGAAGTCTCCGTTTACCCACAGAAGGAGCTTCCCTTTTTCATCCATTTCACAGCAGGCCTATGTTCCTTCTCGGCCATGCTCGCCCTCCTCACGCACCAGTTCCCTGAGCTGATGGTCCTTTTCGCTAAAGCTGTAAGTATTGTCTCTACCATGGGGCTTGCTTGGACAACTTGGGGGATCTGTGGGAATTTCAAGGTCCATGGTGAAGCAGGCTCTGGTCAGTCTCATGTTTGTGGGCCATGAAATATTTTATCTCCTTTTGTAAGAATCTAGTTAGTGACAAACTTGTTGAAGTTTGGGCAAAATGTCTATTTTGACAAGAAGGCGAACTGTTGCTGTAACACACCATGGCTTTAATTTGCACTCTTATGGTAAGAGCGCATTTTGGCACCTGAGAAATTTTGCCACAGAGCGCTGTGTTGAGTATGGATTTTATTCTCATAGCAGTGGAAGACTGCAGTGCAAGAGCCTCAGAAAGTAAATTTGTTGATGGAAGACTTTGAGAAGTGAGTAAAAAGCAGGCTGGGCTGCAGGAAAAACAGGTCTCTTGGTGAGCACTGGAAATTAGTAGCATGATGGGAACGGAATGGATGAGAATGGAGGTGAAGTAACTTCCAAGCCGGGTTCAGAAGTCAGTTAGCTGTCACTTGCCTTTGGGGAACTAGACCGGTGGTTTTATATCTCATCTGGTTCCAGTTATTAGATTGAGAACACGTTCAGTGACCACAGTTCTGTCATTTGAGTACCCGTTCAAGTGTAGAAATTGGACTTGACAGCAGCAAACAGGCTTTTAGCTGGATACGTTTCTAATCTGTGCTGCTTCAAACATCTCTAAATACGTGCTGTTGAGCCATTTGTTCTTACGGGCGCCTTCTGTGCCCACCTCCTTCCTCCTCCCCTCTGCCCTGCTCTTGTCAGGGTTTCTTTTCCGTGCTTATCTGTTAATATTGCTGCTGGCTGTAACCTTGTCATCTTTCCCCGGACGTTGAAAGCTGTGCTGTCTTACTTTGTTAGAGAAGCTGCATAGGCAGCTTCCCCTCCCCGCTTCTCAAACTAAGCCATGCGGCATATTTGGCCGTTACTGAACTATGGCTCTCATGCAGTAGAGCGGAGTGGCAAATAGAGAGCTCTGAACTCTCAATGCATCGTTTATTCTAGCTTTGCTAGTCAAAATAGAGGGTGAAAGGCATTCGGCTTTCTTGCTGTTCTAATGCAGCAGGTAATGGAGACCTGGGAGGTAAGTCGTCTTTCTTAAGCATACTTTGTTCCTAAAAGCGCTGGCTTTGCTAGCGATTCTAGCCTGCAGCGTCCAAGTCATGCAGGTCTGAGAGTGGGGCCTCATTTCCACACAGTTCTGTTGATCTTTATGTTGGAAAACGCAGTTGGACATGCCAGTGACAAATTTCAGTGCTGCTCATAATTGGCTGGGTTCATAGTTACTAGGGTCTAACTATCTGCTTGGGTAAGTCTGCAAGGACTGCATTAGCAAAGTTGTACGATTTCCAGAGAGATACAAGGTCAAATGTTATGCTAACAAAGAATTGCTTGGTGAAGTTCTCTCTGCTGGATTGCTTGAACCACAAAAAGATTTTGTACAAGTTAGTTGGCTTTGCATAATGGCATTTTGAATGTCAAGTGTACGTGTCCAAGTGCAGGGGAAAAAACTCCCAGGGTTTGGTTGTTTGGCATTGTGTTTTTCGCCTCTTTTCGATAGGAAAGGATGGATTGGATTGTGTCTGGTCAGCTGAAAAGATGATCGAGAAGCGTGCACGTTGCTGCATCGTTCCACCAACCAGGTCACGGTGGTGGCAGGCACGGACAAAGGCGCTCTTGCCACTCGCTGTGCTAGCTGAATGCTGGCACGAGTGGAAATGGCACCGAGATGAACAGACAAGAAGTGAATTCTGTGTAACCTCTTGCGATTGACAGCTGAGAAGGAAATACCATCTACCGGTATTCCGCTGTTTTAGGCAGAATTAACATTAACTCCCAATCATACTCTAATGAGTAATATTCTTCTTTAGTTTAATTATTAGGTTATTGTGCTCTTGATCCCATTCCTGATGTTTTCAGAAGCATTCAGAAAACTTGTATGAAACAAACGGTATTCAATATCGAACTAACACTTCCAATTCTATTCATAGATTGCTTCAGTATTTTAACCAGAGAGAACGCTGGGATGGCCGCTTTATAAAGCATTCTCTCGTGGGCAGGAGGTGTGTTGCAGTAGCATCCACTTGAATTTCCATACCAGAAATGGAAGTTTACCTTCATTTTAATGACACCCGCTCTCCATCCGAGAGTACTGTACTAAAACAATTATTATTTGCTGTATCTCATGTTATACCTTCAGGTAGTTCCAGCGCTTCAAACTTTCTAAATGAAATTATTTTCCCTGTGTATTTCATTATTGCAAATGTTTTTTCATGATACTGTGTTTTAACTTCTTAAATACAGTAATTTGAGGTAATGAAGTTCTAGATGGTAGATACCTGGAGCGCTTGGCCTTTGTGAAAAGGCGATACAAAATATATTTCAAAAAAATTGTTGAATTTCCAACAAATCCAGAGCACAGTTTTACGAATGACAGTTGGAAAGTATCACGTATATGGAATTTTTCACGTATATGGAATTTTTCACTATAAATCTCTAAGTGACTTAAATATGACAGAATCACAGAATGGGAAGGGTTGGAAGGGACCTCGATTACATTTCAGTTGCTTCTTAGTCAAACTGTTGCTTCCAGCAATTGAATCTGCAGCGAACTGCGTGCCTCTAACGGGTGTTAAGGAGCTGAATACCTTTCTATTGACTTGAAAAGTCAGAGTTTACATATTTTCGTATAAATCTCTAAGTAACTTAAATATGACAGAATCACAGAATGGGAAGGGTTGGAAGGGACCTCGATTACATTTCAGTTGCTTCTTAGTCAAACTGTTGCTTCCAGCAATTGAATCTGCAGCGAACTGCGTGCCTCTAACGGGTGTTAAGGAGCTGAATACCTTTCTATTGACTTGAAAAGTCAGAGTTTACATATTTTCGTTTGTTAGTGCTTGAGTTTGTTTCCTCCATAATAAATCACAGGGTAAACCTTGGCAAATTGCTAAAAATATTCCAAGTGGCCAAAAATCACAATGAGGCATTTACTGGTTCCAATGTATACAGCGTCATACACCATCAGCAGAGGCTTGAGCGCTGGCACGGCTGCGAGCGGCTCCCTCTGGGACGGGAGGCAGCGCTGCCGCCCCGCTCCGTCGCCCTGGGACCAGGCGCCAGAGGGATTTTCGTTGTCTTGCGCAGGTGGAAGGGTTTGCAGGCACGAGGGCCTGGCGCTGGCAGAAGCGCTTAGCGTTTATGGATCCGGTCAGAGCCAGCTGCGGCTTATGAGTTCTCTTAACTTGGACTTTTTATGTTCTCTGCCTAGGGAAGGATGAGCCATGTGAGCGGGGGCGGGTGAGGACGGTGCAAAGGGCAGCGGCAGGGAGCTCCGGCGGACCCGCAGCGTGAGCGCAAGTGCTCTCTGTGGGTAGAGCTCAGCCTGGCTGTTGGTTTCAGCCACGTTTGTGATCTCTTGGAGAATCGCTCTGTTCTTGATCGTCAGAGACAGCTCTGATTAAGTTGTAGCTGTTGAGAATTTTCTCAGTAAGTGACAGGAGGGAGGAGGTACGCAAAAGGGATGGCAGCAATCTAGACAGCTCACTGCGCAAGCTGAAAACCACTCTGTTACATAGCACAACTTCTGCTGAACTGCAGACAAAAGGGTCTGATTGTTTTTCCATTCAGCATGAATTTTTATTTTTTAATAACTACATAGGTGGAGAACTGGGTAGCTCTGTATCATCTTGCAAATATGACGTTGCACAATTCCTTCTGTAGTATCTTGTAAAGACACGGAGAAGTCTGCCTTCGGGAGAGCCGGGGCTGCAGAGCGACAGCAGGCACTGCAAATAGTCGGTGCAGAAGCTCCCGAAAACAACCGATGTGCTTACCTGCCAAGCGAATCAATCCCCTTTTTAAGTCTAAACCTTAAGCTACTGGACTAGACGAGTATTAGTGAATATTAAAGTATTGAAATACTGTAACAGCAGTGTTCCTGCTAAAAAAAAATCCTTGTTCAGGGAATTGGACAAAATCCGAAGGCAGTCTGTGTTCCAAAGTGTTCTGATATGCTTCGCTCAATATTTTCACAACAAAGAAAGAAGTCATGGGACTTAAAGTAAAAATTGGCTAATTTTTCTGACTGCAAGATTCGGAGAAAACATTTCTCATCCTGGTTGTTTTGTAGCTCCCCATTAGAGGGTTCCTTGCCATCCTGCCGATAGCAGCCATCTAGAGACAGAAAATAGGACGAAAGGGAGCCCCGTCTGGCAAGTCCTGCTTTCTGTGACACTCTGCTTTACTTTCTGAACAAATCCCCCTACCACTTTCCCCAAAGCTCATTAAGTGAGACTGGAGAATTAACTTTTTAGCCAGCTGCTGAACTTTTCATATTTATAAACACTTGAGTCTTTTGCTTATCTAAGAGAAAATGTGTATAGTTTGGAGATGTGCACTTCCCTGCCAATGTGCAATGAGTGGTTCTACGCTTCGTAGAAAAAAAGCCTGAAGTTTCCTGTCACAGCTGAGTGTCGATGCCAAGGGCAAAGGTTTCTTGCCTTGCTAATCTACATCTTAACTCATGCACTTAATGGGAAGGTGCCACACGCAAACAGGCAGGGAAGAAGCTGGCTGCAATGGAAAGCTCCTGCGCTGCTGTGAATGTTATGTTTTAAAAGCCTTTTTAATGTAATATTTGAGGTTATGATATAAGCCAGGAGGGCCGAAGTAAAACCCTCAAAGTAAATGAGTCCTGTCATTGCTGCCTCATGAAAAGAGGGTTTGTGCGAGGATAACACGAGTCCCAGCAGAATACTCGGGGGATGGGTTGAGAAGGTGCAGGGGAGTTTGCACCATTTGTTTTAGCCTAATCTTCATTTCTGGAACTGTTTAGATGGCATCTAGAGTATGGATCCTGGAAGCACGGGCCGGTCTTGGGGGATTGTCTGTTCAGTTTTCACACGTTTGAGTCGAGAAAATATGCTACCCTCCTCCCCAGCCTGTTCAGCACTGACGGCGCGGTGCTCGGAGCAGCTGGAGGAGTTGTAGCGCAGAGAAACGCCGTCCTAACCCGTCCTGCTTGTGCCTAGGTGCTGCGGGTGCTGTGGCCTGTGAGTGCTCCCAGCGTCCTGGCCTCCAGCTGAGCGGATCGCGCCGGGGACGCAGGGGGTGAGTGCACAAGGCTGGAGCTGTGGCTTCCCAGAGGGGTTTTTCTTCTTTTGTGTGTCTTGGCTAATATTTAATGATTACTACGAGCCTATTTCATGGTGTCAGTGCTGAGGGGATCATAGCTCTGTTGCCTCAAGGGGAAGATACAGGGTGTTTTTTTGTTCCTAGCTTGAGCCTGTAAAAGGATGTTGGTTTGAAAGTGAGCTAACTTGTTGTTGGCATTGTGTTCTGTTTCTTCCAGTGCTTTGGGAATCCTCTTTCAACCTTCAGCTTCGTTATGGAAAACGTTGAGGTCCTCCTGCTGTCCAGCCTCTGGCATCAGCTGACTCCAGTGTGACTGCAGCGCGCTTTCCACGATGGTTCGGTTTCGTTGCTCTCACGAGCCTCGCGCCTGGTGGTTTGCTGACCCCTAGACATGGGGGACAAGGAAGAAAGCTGTGCTAGTCAAACTGGTATCTCTGACAGGCTTCCATGTTGGTAACGGTGCTTAACGAATGGATTTCTTCTTTGGCCTTAGTCTGTGACCATCTAAAAAAAGTTTTTGTTGAGCAATACCTTATTGCTCCCTTAGTCACTCGTACAACGGGAAGCTAGCACTTCCTCTGTAAGAAAGGAGAGGACGCAAACTGAGCAGATGTTTGGAGTATTGACACTTCCTTCTCAGCTGCAGATGCACCAAATAATTGGCTTAGATTTAATTTTATAAGCCTTTTTCAAAATATTTGTTAACAGTAAAGTATGGTTCTGCTTTTGTTATTAAAAGATTGCTTCTTAACACATTGAATTTGTTGACTTCTTAAGCGTCTGTTTAATACAGATTATAGTGTGCAAACAGAGATTTGTGTCTTCTGTATCCTGTAAGCTTGCGTTACGCAAGGAAATGGTAGTGTAAACTCCTCTATTTCATATTGTTACTTTAGATTTAATTGTGCATCTCTTGTCTTTCAAACGGCTTTGCCTTGAAGAACAGGATGGTTTCTGAAACGGCCAAAAGTGGTTGTGACAGCTGCATGGGAGTCATCTTGGGCGACCTGGACCTTCAAGTGTTAGTCCAAAGTAGTGGTGTTGTTGGTATCAACCCTTGAAGAGAGCAGAGATGCGGAGCACTCTTCAAAGGAATCGCTTCGTATATGGGCCAGCCACAGGGGTTTGTTTACTGCAGAGGTGAAAAGATGGCTGTGGCAGCCACGTGGTTTGAGGTAACTGCTGTGACTCCATTTCCACTCTCCCCTGTTACAGAAAATGTCCACTTTTTCACATTTGGGTCTGCTGCTCGGTATTGGGGAAGTGGAGTCGTGTTAGCCAGGGCTTCTTAAAAGTGGAAATGATAAAAATAGCACAGGCTTGGGGATAACTCCTGATTCTGAGCACATGAAAGGTTGTCTGTCATCTTATATTTTATAGCTAAACACATATACTTACCCATAATAACTAGGGAGATTTTACATGTTTCATCTTCACTCATCTTTGAGGAGGATTGATGTAGCCATCCCATTGACAGCCTCTTTCCAAGGTGGTGTAAGCTATTCTAGGTTCTGAATCCTGGATGGAAGAAGCTTGCTGTTGCCTGCTCTCTTCTCTGAAATAATACCTAAATCAATCAATTACAGGTCAGTTTGAATTGACTTATAATCTATCTTGATGCCGAAGGCTGATTTTTTCCCCCTCCCCAAATCCTTCTTTACCTTGTAAACAAAGGACTGTGAAGTAGACCCTCCCCTATGCATCTCGTATGGTGTAGCTTATTTGTAACGCTGGCGGGGAGGAAGCGCACGTGTTCAGGTGGAATTGCCATTGTAACTCTGCTGTATATTGCTGTTGGCTGGGCTTTAATCCAAATTCAATACTTGAACTCATTGAGAGCCCTACAGAAAGGTACTACCAAATTTTTTGAGTTGCCTAACTACTAGTAGGTAATTTTCTCAACTTTCTTTCCAGTTGAACGTATGCCATTGGGGCTGTGTCTCACTGTGGAATCATTGTGGTGATTAATAGATATGTTGTGTTCATGTAATTTCACTTCTCGGTCCGCAGGGGCCCATAAGGTAACCAACCTAATGCTTTTTAAAGTTGAACATTTTCCAGCATTTCTGCGGGGTTATAAATGAAGCGCTGCCTCCCATGTATCATCCCAAGAGCTGCTTTCTCTCACTGTCCTCCCCTGACATAACCGTAGCAGAAAGGGGACGGGCTTACGCTGAAAGGGTAGCTGGCAACAGGCAGCAAGTAATGAAAATCTTCCTGTCTCTCCAGAAGGGCCAGTAATTCCTGAGGAGGAGCTCTCTGCATGGCTCCCTGGCAGGACTGTTCGTGCTCTATGGGAACGCTCGTTTGCCACTTAGGAGCAGGGACTTAGCACCTGTGCCATAGTGATACCACGCCAGCCCACGCGCAGTTGTGTGTGTGTGTGTATATATATATATATAAAATGACAGTTATGACTTTGGACAGACAAGCGTGGGTTGCTGCCATTTCCCTGAAGCACGCACTGGGGTGACCTCAAAGCCATTGGGATGGCGAAAGCCTTTCCACGCGGCTGTATGTGGCGTTAGCAG